AGTTTGCGACTTAAGCCAAAACTTAAGTTGTTTTCTTTCACAATGGAAAAGACAAGGATGGTCCATTTTAGACTTAAGTCTAAGTTCAATATTTTAGCGTTCTGTAGATATTAATTGGCTAAGTGGAAACTAAGTTTTTAAGTGAAATATCGTAGAATCGCCATGATACGTCGAATCAAAAACTGGATTTTTTCTATTGTAAGCTGACATTATAAGCTAGTCTCATTATAAGAAAAAAAATTTTCTTCGGGTGTAAACAGAGTTATGACAGTTTGAAGTTCGTTTTCCAAGATCAGTTGTTGGATGTAACGGGTTAAGTTTTCACTTACTCGGTTAATTTATACAGAACGGCTAAAATATTGAAGTCTAAAATCGACCATACTTGTCTTTTCCATTGTGAAAGAAAACAAATTAAGTCGAAAACTTAAGCTTTTTCATGAAGCAGGAGGGTGTTTCACAAAAATTCTTAAGCCCATGTCTTATCTTAGTCTGAGACAAACTTAAGTTGACGAACTTAAAGTGTTGCGCAACTTCAAACTTAAGTTTGACTTAAAGCTAAGTGCATAACTTAGTCGCACGGTCTTAAGTTAAGTCCATGCACTTAACTGGTGCATAGATGTATTGCAATCTACCGCACTTTTTCCAAAAAGAATAGAGTTCGTGATAGTTCGGATATGGCATGAGCGTATGGAAAATATGGGAAAAGGAGAAAAAAGATTAAAAAAGCCAACAAATCGCAATTTCATTTATAATATCAATCCCATATCCATAGATAAACTGTATTTGATCAACTCGTGACCAAATGGCACCTGAGTCGTGGGCGTCTTGCAACAAGTTGTTAATGAATATAGGATAAATTTCTGAGTCATAAGCACAAATTTCTTCCCAGAGGTGCATAATCTTCCTCGTGCGCACCTGCGCGGGTGGGGAAATTTTTTGAAAAGTTGTTCTACTGGGGGAAATTTAAGATACAACAGCCTGGGGAAATTTTTTATTTTTTGGAAGATTCTGCACCTCTGTTTCTTCCACTTTTGCATCCTTTGGTCCCCGATCCAGAGCGGATTTCACTTTTCATGAATAAAACAGTCTTAGTCTTAGTCTCTTAGATTTTGGAAAAAGAACGCTCAATAGTCATGATATGCAGTACCTGGAGAACCATTTCGCGTTTCTAGAAGTTCTCTACATCACTGCGTGCGCATTTTTCAAAAAATGTGACTAAACAGAAAAAAGAAAAAAAACCCTAGCAACGGGATAATGTCTGTCGACATAGAAACATGTTTTTTTACTATTGTAGCTATCCAGAAGCCTATAGTTTCTCCAAAACTTAATTTTCTCTTGACCAGATGTTTTTTCGTAGTCGAAGAACATTCATTAAATAACTTTTCTCTGATGGGGAGTGGTTTCGTTGAACAAAACTCTTTTTAACAGAGTGGTGTGTTGATTTAAGGATCCTCTCTATACATTTTTTTTCTAACGGATTTGAACGAAACTTTTAAGAACTAAAGTTCATAACGTGAACAAGTTATGATAAAAATGTTTGGCTATCATCTACGAACATTTCGGATTGAAAGCCTAAAATTATTAACTGTTGTAACCCAAACATCTGCAGTTTTCTCTGAAACACAGTCGAAATGGAAAAATCTGTTTTTCTTATATTGTGCAATTCTGTCCAGGCTTTCTCGAACAAAAAAATCTTTTTACGTAAAATTTAGAACAAATTTGAATTTCTGACAGCTCATGAAAGGAGAAGGAAAGTAGGTCATATAAATTATATTTTGAGAGTATACACAGAGCTCTTTTAGTGGAGTGTGTTTAAGCAAATTCGAGTGCATATTGAAAAATGATATTTAGTGTAACGTCATCTTTTTCACAGTTTTTGTAGTATAAGGGTACAATTAATACCGAAAATGCTTTATAATGATGAAGTGTAGCTAATCAAGATTTAAGTATAAAGTCTCTTACTGTTAAAAGTGTTTTCATTTTTCGTAGTTGAAGACATAACACATGCTGGACACAATAAGACATTTTGTTCAGACACATTGGAAGCATTTGTAAGACATATTAATAAAAACGATAACGCGCCATCAATAAATCGTCTGTCATGGTTTCCATAGGATTTTATCTGTCAAAAAAATTTCTTTCATAACGTAACGCCCTCTTCAACAGCCACTGATTAACTAGCGCCGTTATTTCTTTTATTTATTTCGCAAAGTACAAGTGTCAATAAAAAACAGTTAAAAAATGTTGTTTGTTTACTCTAATACTTCAATTTTTATATCATATTCTAATCACAGCAAGAGTTAAGACAAACTTAAGATAAGTACAGACTACTCTTAACTTAAGCGTGGACTTAAGTCTAACTTAAGTTAAGTCTATGACTTAAGAATTTTTGTGAAACACCCTCCAGATCTCTAATCTTACATTGTCAGTATATAACATATAACGTATTTAATTAAGATTGTTGACCTGGATCAATACCGATTGGATGATTGATCGAAACTGGTTGTTGTGAATGTTGAAGTGGCAGAGATTTTACAAATGATTGTCTAATAACAGATTCCGTCGTATCAATTCTCAAGCTAATTTGACCAATATTGTGTAATAAGATGAAAGATTTATAACTTTTCCCAAAATTGATTAATCCAATATCAAAAAGAGCATGTGGCGTTGTTTGAAGAATAGGCAGTTTGAATTTGAGATAATATGGAATATTCAGCAATGTTTCAGATGAATTCGATTTCAAATTTACAATCGAACTAAAATCACGTAAATCAACCGCATAATATTGAAATTGAATAGTTGACTCTTGTGACGGTTTCAACCACAGTTGATCAGGTTTCATAAGAAATGTTGATGATAACATCTTCTGTCTACCATTGACTAAAACAATGTGTGCATATTTGATATTTGCCGATGCATTACCTGAATTATTAATTGACATTTTAGTTTCAATAGGCTTGATTTTACTTAACATATCGTCCCACAATATAGACATATCGGCTGTTTGTCCTATACGTATTTCTCTTTGTATGTTCGTCGGTGAAAATGTTAGTTTTGACGAACTTGTTTCACATATCAACTGAAGTTCTAAATGACGTTTACTGTTTGTAAATGCAATATCCAATGTATAATTTTGTGTGGAAGATTTTTTGTTAGGCATACGAATTATAACACCAAGAATTTTCGTACTAGCAAGTGTTAGCAGTATAGTTTTTGTACTTAATTCCAATCGACTAGCCAAATTTAAACTATCTTATATTTTTATTATAACATTATCTTGTGTCAGTTTTTCTCCAGTTTATGAAACCTTAAAACTTTAACTTATCAAAACGAGTTGAAAACTGTTTTTGGAAAAGTATCTATTTGGCTATAGTTAGAGAGATTTCTTCTTGTATATCTGTAATAATTTGCATGTGTCATTGGTTTAGTTTTAAGTGCTTTTATGAAGTTTTTTAAGTTTGTAATGCTTTTTATTGCCTACATGAACGTGTTATCTTAATGAAAAGTAAATCGTCTGTTAAAGTGTTCATTATTTATTTTCATGTATCTCAGCAAATGACATAGTACCATTCGAGAGAAAAAATTTTAATCATCCATCTGAAAGAGCATTGTCCGAGGGATTTCATAGGTATCCCTGCACTTGTTTCTGATAATATTCAGTAACTTCAGAATGAGATGGACTATAGATAATCGACAACGATGAGGCTTATGGCAATGCTGTTTTGTGGCAAATTTCTAAAAATTTATTGAATCAAGCTTTGTCGAAAATATCAATCTATTGCTGTTTCACTCCAAAGCAAGAAAATATATATTTCATTTGATACTTATGCTAATGACTTCGAAATTTCAGGATGTGCTCAATTTAATGTATTCAACTTATTCTTTATCCAAGTGAGAATTGCTGAACTGACTATTGTTAAGTTAATTCTTTTATGCTGTTTTTTCTATTTCTGCATGCTAGCTTCGAACTGTTCAAGAATGTTTTAGTTTAGAATCTTTGATGTCAGGTTTTATGCTTATTGAAGATGTCTTTTCATTCTTTCCCCGAGCCCGAAGAAGACGGAGATAATATTAATACGAGTTCGTCTAGTAATAATTCGCGTAAATCAGATTCCGACACTGAGCATGTGTGTTTCGTTTCACCGTCATCAACAACAACTTTCATCAAGGCGTACACATTTAACAAACACAATGAATTTGTCAAGGATTATGATGAGCTCAAAACCGATCCATCGTTGAGACGTTTTCTAAATATACGCCCACCGACGATAGCACGTAACTTATTTAAAACAAGTGATATTGTTCGTCAAAAATTGGAAAAGTTATCGCTAGCTGTTGGGAAATGTTTTTTTCTCGATTCGAACGGAACGTGCGATTTTACAAGCTATCGAATAACACCGATTATTAAACCAAACGATAATTCACCATCGTTTTTTATTGCTGCCACATGTGCTCATCCATATTTAAAAACGGATGAACAGTTGGGTAAGGACCTCATTTTTTCACAAAATGATTGACTTTGTTGCAAACATCTAAGTCATTATCAGTTTTTCTGGATATTCTGTTCAACCATTATTTTGCTATTTACCGGACTGTTTTTGAATATTGTAGGTTCCAATCAAAAAATATTGAAATATGTGTATTCAAATAATCTGTCAGCACCAACAGAAACGCTCATATTTGACGATAAAGCCAAAATATTTGAAATCTTTGAATACGAAAAAAAAATCATTTTAGATAAAACAATTTATGAATTGGATCAGAGTCCGAATGCCAATCAAGAAACAACAAACCCTCATTTAGCCACACAGCCATGGCGATTAAACGACTTTTTGTTTATAAAAGTGTATGATGAAGGTGATGAACAAATCCCCTTTTTTCAACCAACCTCATCTGACATTATTCCACAAGAGTCAGTTGCGTTGATTGGTTATCCTAGCGGCGTTGAGGATGTATTCAAATATGAAAAGCAAGGATTCGTTGTAAAGTTCGACAAAGACAAAAATGATATTAAAGAAAAAATTCGGCAATGTTTCGGTAATTGGCAACAGAAAATTTGTACCGTCGGTGAAATACGTTCAGTGGATGATCCAGCGATATGCAAAGTTCGACCACATGATGCATCTGCAGAAAGTGGAATGTCTGGTTGTCCTGTTATAAGTCTTAATTTGCTGTTCAGTAAGCTGTTTAAATACATTTTTTTCAAACCTTTTTGCTTTTGCTTTGGGTTTATTTAGGTGATTCAAATACTAGTTTATTAGGTACAAATATGGGTTTATTCGCGTGTAATAAAAAATGCAACAATTTCTTAACTGTCCATCAGCCAGCATGGGCTGCCTATTATGGTTTGTTGGTTTATCCATTATTGGATCCTCAAACACAAGACCAGTTATTGCCATGGTATCGTAAACACGAGAATGAAATTAACAAATTTCAAGCCGCAGTTCAGAATTCCAAAATACAAAAAAGGTGAAGATGAATGGTTTTCTGATAATTTCTTATCCCCTGTTATTCAGCAAATAGATGCAATTAAAGTCGTATTAATATCATACATTTCAGATCTTTATCAACATCCCCCGTATCCACTCACAAGTTTAAAGCAGCCAAGAATCCCTAAAGAAGCGAATGTATCTCCTGTCATTGTTGATCTGTTCAAAATGTACATTTAACTATTGATCGAAATTATTTACAAGTTATATCGAATAAACCAAATTAGTGTTTTGGCAACTAGCAACATTTAGAAAACTTGTCATACATACTTCGATGATATTTGGATATGATTAACAGCAATGGATGCTTTTTCTTTTGGGGTTTTCTCTTTTGGATTATTAAGTCGAACTATATTTAATTTATCTTGATGTTTGTTTCAAGTAAAATTTTAAGGTTATTCAGTTGTTTTGAATTTTCAGTACACCAAATTGGTGGATTTTGTTCATTTAATTTTTGTTTAGCTAATGCTAACTGTTTGTTTAAAAGATGAAAACGTCCTTTATATGATTCAATTTCTTTTTCTAATAACGAAAGCTGGCAATCATCATAAATTTTCGATGTCTCAAGGAATTTTCGTAAACGTCTAGTGCGAATGTGAACTGGTGTGAGTATTTCTGTTTGATATTTTTTGAATGAAATTTTTTTGAAAAAGTTATTGTATAAATACACTTTCTTGTCGACATCCTTGGAAGATTCTTATTTCTTTTCGTTTCAAAGAAGTTTATTTTGATATAAATCAGGCAAGATTCTTGTTTTTATTTCTCAAAATCAACAACTAGGAAAGAGTACGGTGAACGTGCCTAGTTGCAACGAGGATTTGATGTGTTCGCTTCCATCGCTAATTGTGACACATTTCCGCATAAAACCAGAAATAGTTTTTCTTGACAATGGAAACGAAGATGCCCGAGTTCACTCAAATATTACTAAAGCAGTTTTGCATAAACTCTCCTGTGTTTTAGAAAAAACCACAACAGAGAGAGAAGCATCGCGATAGGGCATATGTTCCGCACTGAGACAGACAGTCTCACATTTTCCTAATCTGATTCTCATTAAGATTTGTTCGGTTGTGTTGCATTAAAAACATTTCATTAGACGAGTTCGTTTTTTTTGCAAATCTCTGCCTGTACGTACAACTTGATGAGAAAAGCTCAGTTTTTTCTGAAAGGAAAAGACTTAGAGATATTCTAATGATAGATTCTTGCCAGCTAGAGTCTGGATTTTCGAACGATGGTATGAGAGTTTGTACGAGATTCTTGATTTTAACCGATCGCATCCTTTTTCGAAGTGACAGAACTTTTTGACTGTCCTAAGTAATTGTTGTGTTTCAATGAAAGACTATTATAATGAATTCACATTTTAATTATTAATAATCATCAGTCTCTGTTCGTTAGTATGTCTGAATTTAAGCAGAAATTGGAAAAACAGAAAAAAGCTTGTCAGCGTTGCTTCCATGAAGCAAAAATGTGAAAACTTCCTATTAAACTGTTAGACTATAACATAGAACATGTAATAATTTTTAAAATTCGTGTCTAACAACATCAGATCAATAATTCACTGTCTGTTACTAGTCCATTCACTAGCTGTAAAAACACATTCCAGTAGCTGTAAACACCAAATTTATATTGAAATTTGGTCAATCACAATTCCACCCTGAAAGTTTACAGCTACCGGAATACTGACAAAAAAGCCTCTGCAAACCACAAAAATTCTTGTATATAAACTTTATACTTCAAACTTCCTTTTTCTTAGGAAAACGGACAAGTTTTCATGAAATATGAGAATGAAGAGTTTTATGTAAAAGCGTTTTTGTTCATTCTCTTTTTATTCATTTCCTATTTATTTATTTCTATTGCTCTTATTCGAATGGTTCAAGTCGGATGACATTCGATCCAATTGTTTCTATAAATTAATTCGACTATATTTCAATCTCATTACATACATTTCCTGATGAGAAACAAATTAGCTTAAATGTGCTGCTTTGGAGAAGAAATACTTATACGTATCGCCATAAATAGGTGTAAATAATATCACACTTGAAAACTAGATTGTAATTGTACTATGCACAAGTTGCGATATCGATAGAAACTGTCAGAGGTTGTCACAAGACCGTTGAATTGCATAACGTTCAATTTTCAGTTGTTCAATAGCGAGAAAACCTTGTCAGAGCAGTCCCTCTCGAGGCTAAATCGGTGAAACTCCTTTGCAGGTCTTTCACTTTTAATAAATAAAACACTGCTACGTTATATTAATGTTGTAATATAGAGAGGTGGTGCGGGACTTTTATTTGTTTTGAGATGATAATGATAATAGTAACTAGGGATTTTTCACATTTTTTTACTAAAAGATAAATATTTTTTGGGCTCAAAGTGAGATAATAATTTAATTTTACATCACCATTGTAAGATGAATACTCTACCATTCTAGGGCGAATACACCTGAAGTGGGAGGGGAGATACAAAAGTAGGTCAAAATCAAGACTTTTTGAGTATAAAACTTCAACTTCTTCTCCTTTGGAGATAATGAAGAGTTTCACAAAAAATTATAGCCATGGATTAACAGGGAAAAAAAGTAACGCTAGATCACGTCGTAAACACAAAAAAAATAAAATTCCCTGAAAAACTCATAATGTCTGTCAATATAGAGAACCCTTTAAATTGAACGAGGACGTTTCCTTTTTACTCGTCATCACCACCAAAATATATTAGACAGATATGAAGTAGGAAAGATAGTGAAAGAAGAATCGGACGATGAAGACAACAGACTCTGTCTCTGCTGACAGTTGCCAAAAGTTATCAATTTAGTCGACAGATTTTCCACTGCACCACTTTCACTGTAATTTTCTATTTCAGCTACTTTAAAAGAGATAATTAAAGAAAATAGAACAGAGAACAAAATATGACGAATAACGAAAGAAAAATGAGAGCGAATTATTTTTCTACTTTAAGAATAAATGGCACTGCACAACTGATGCTAATGAACTTTGAATGAAGTCCAAAACACATTTTTCTTTCACTTGTCGAGCTTATGATATCGAATCTGGACTTTTATTTAAAAAAGAACATGTACTGATCAATCTTCAGTACTTAGAGAATGTCCTCCCGTTTTGAGAAGTTTTCTAGGCCACATAATTCGCTGGATCACGTAGTGAACATTTTGCACAAAACATAAATAACAAGGTTCTCTGGAAAAACTCATAATGTCTGTGAGATATTGAATCGATCGAGTCAGCAAAGCCAGTATTATTAGCAACGGAACTATGTCAATTACGCGATTTATTCTTGCCCACATCTCCTCCTGTCACTTCATCAGTACCTCCGAAAAAAAATTCATTATACGAAATAAATCCCAAACAGGCGATAATTTTTCAAATGATAACATTAACAACAACAATAATAATAATTCGTCGTTCATTCAAATTATCATTGATCAACAACCCTACGCACTCCAAGTCGAAACACAGGAGACAAATTTTGATAAAATGATTGGGTGTTACGATATGAAACAAGTTATGGAACAAGAAATACAGTCTCAAGGTTAGTATAGTACGTGATTAAAAATATCCTATTTTACGTTGTAAAATTATTTTTTCCACTGGTAATACAGAATATATTTCACAATTAAAATCTTGTTTTGAAAACAGTTAGTTCGTATTAGTTTTTTGTTCAATAATATTTCATTTACGTCGGAGAACATCTTTTTTTTCTACGAAATATCTCTTCTGAGACCTACTCAGAATGATAAAATACAACTGAAATTTGTTTAGTTGTGGTTGACGTTTATTATTATTACTGTACTGATGCATAATAAGAGTTTTAGATTCAAGTGACACGTAGAAATAAAAATAAAAAAATTTTGAGAAAATTCTTTCCTAAAGTCAATTTATGACAATGGCAACAACTTTAAATGTCAATTAGAGCTAATGATAATTGCGGAAACTTTTCGAATTGAGATAAAACAAAACAAGTGTCATTATTTCAATAGTCTTTTTTTGAAAATTCTTTAATTTTGCTTAAAAATGCTTCTTAACACTGTATCACTGACTGCTTTTTGATCGGTATATTTTATTAAACTTGATTAAGTAGCCCGTTGACGGTTCTTATACATTATTTTTTATATGAATGGCAAGATGGCAAACAGCACGATCGAGGAGTTTGCACATCTGCGAATGGGGACAGGTATTACGGCGAATGGCAAGATGACAAAATGCACGGTCGAGGAGTTTGCACATCTGCGAATGGGAAGAGGTATGACGGCGAATAGCAAGATGGCCAACTCGCTTAAGTCTTTGTCTTCGGCTCCATTCAGTTCTAGCTTACAGGGTTCGTACTGTCCACTTTCAAAAAGCAGGAACAGGAGAGGATTTTTCTCCTTCGAAAAACAGAAAAGTTAATAATTTTTTTTGAGAAATACAGGAAATAAGCGAATGTAGAAAAATGACAAGTGAGATTTATCACAATGTGTTAAATAATGTATTGCTAGGCATAAACTAAAATTCACTCGACGTTATTTAAAAATTTTTATACCGCATTCAAACATAGTCGTAGATAATCGTAGATATCAAGCGTATATCTCTTTTTATTTATCCATTCAGTATTATTATTATTATTGTTTTCTTCCATTTTCCTTTTTTTTATGTACGTACAACCACTAGAGATGGGTGGAACCAACCTTTTTTGGTTCTGTAGAAAATTGTTTGGTTCTGATGGAAATTTTGGCCATAGAACATGAAAAATTGTTCTCCTGCTGGAGGAAAGTTCAATCCGGCTTTTTACTATTGTACTGCGTTGTAGAGCTTTCTACGAAAGAACTATTTAGATTATTTTCCATTTAACCGCTCTGTTTTCGAAGCTTTTTAGCATGTAGGTGGGGGCAGAAGTGTGTCAGAACGGTAATAAAAGGGGAAAAAACTATGTTAGGAAATCAGAAAATTTTTGTGCCCGCCGATCCTAAAAATCCTGGCTACGTCGCTGACAGCTAGAAAGT